TGAGAATCACAGTTACTAGCTTTCCGATATGGTCCCCATACATCCGAATGTATCAATTTGAAAATCCTCGACGCTTTATTATTGCTTGAATGAAATATACCGCGAGTTTGTTTAGCTCGCAAACATACATCGCAAGATGAAAAATCAGAAACTCTTTTACTAAGAACAGGAAGCAAATCAAACACTCCATTTGACGGATGTCCTAGCCGCTGATGCCAAACATCCTCGGCTCCGTCTTTATTCATACAAAAAGCATTAAAAACTCCAACGCCTCGAAAGAAATAGAGATCTTCTCGCAATTCACCCGCTCCAATCAACATTCTCGTTGTACGGTCCTGTAACACACACCCGATGTTAGCAACTTGCATCACACAATCGCAGTTCTTTACGAGTTGTGATACAGATTTTAGATTACACCGCAACTTCGGAACCAATAACACATTCTGAAGCGAAAAAAACTGTTATCAAAGCAAACTGTCCCTTTCTTATCTTTTCATAACCATCAGGAAAACTAAATTTACATGAAAAAATCGTTGTCAATTCACTCAGAAATTCAGTGCAGCCTGTCATATGATTAGAAACACCTGTATCAAAAACCCAATCGAGAGAATCAAGCTTACCGTTTAGACGATTTCATTGTCTGTTGTTCTGATTTTCCATAATTTGAATCACAGTTTTCCATTGATCATTGTTTAGGCCAGTGAAACCGTTTCTTGCGGCTTCACTGCTGATTACGCAAGCTGCATTGCCACGTACGACTCCACCACGTCTGCGGCCTTGAACAAATTTTCATCCTCTTTCTCCCCACCATTGAGGATAACCAATGACTTCAAAACACGATTCCTTGGTATAACCTCGACGTTGGCAATGGGAGCAAAAGAGCTTGCTTTTGTCTTCTACAACATCCATTGATCGAGAGATTTTCACCGCAAAGGCTGCAGCTTGCATGCCTTGTTCTTCTCGGTTTCATAACACAGTACGAACATGCTCCACTGATTTCACCTTGGCATAAACTTGATTCAAGTTTGGCAACGGCTCCGTGCTAATGATTTTCGTGCGGAGATCCCCATTAACCGCATCGTCCAGACCAAGAAGAAATTGGTGCACCTTGTCTTCTTCTCGTTTCTTCTCCAGTTGACCACGTAAATCACAGGTACATCCACCGCAATTACATGTGGGCGACTGGTCATAGTTTAACAGATCCTCCCATAGAGTCTGTAGTTTACCAAAGTAATCGATGAGACTCATCCCTTGTTGACGGCAGTTTGCCAATTCCGTCTTGATCTCTTGAATCCTTGGCCCATTTGCTTCAGAAAATCGATCTTCGATTTCCTGCCACAAATCCTTTGGATCGTCTTTGTTACCGAGGTTCCTTCGCACCTTTGGTTCGATGGTGTTAAGGATCCACAATGCCACCATGGAGTTGACAGACATCCAATCTTCATACTCCGGTGCGTCTTCCTTCGGTTTTGACACTGTCCCATCGACATAGCCAAACTTTTTCTTCACTCGCAAGGCAGACCGTATTGCTTGCACCCACTCGTCAAAGTTATCAGTGGTGAATTGCACTTGAGCAATGATTCCTCCGGGATTTTCGGTTGCAGAGAGCTGATATGCTGAGTTGTTTCTCACAACATAACCTATTGCTGCATTCGTCACAGTCTCACCATTGTTAACCTGGTCACTCATTTTTTTTTATTTTCCGTGATGGCTCTGATATCATGAACAGAAAATGACTGAATGTTCTGTGAATTGACAAACCTTAGAGGCAATGATATATACAAGTACAAATCTTGGAGGAGAAGCTACGATCATAAATGCCTAATTATTAGAGATATCAATCAAGAATATGTACACCTAAGGAGAAGTAATTTAGGGGAATCTGTGAGATTAGATTCTCACAATACTGAGGTATATAATATAGAATTACTGTGTGAAAAATAAGAATTTAATTAAGCTTAGTGATTTTCTTAACTCTAAAGCATATTTTATGTTGATTGCACAGTTGTGGACGATAGAAGAGAAGAATCATTGTTTGGAAGAGATAGAGGAATCGTTCAAGCTTTCTGGAGAGATTCTTCGTCTCTTATTGTCCTGGTTTGATATGTTTGTTGTTACGAAAATTTGGGCCACTTTCCATATCCGTCTATTTTTAAGTATTTTCAACAAAACAATATGGGCTCCATCAATTTGAGTACTGAACTATTTTTAAGTCAGTAACTAGATTTTACCTCGTACATTCGCATGAGAATTTTATCAAATTTTGTAATGTAATTTATAATTTTTTATAGATATAATTTTTAATAAGTGATAAAGATTTATTTTTATTTTATATATATAATATATATTTAAAATTTTCTGCTAGTATTATTATGACCGCGAACATAAAACATAATTATGATCATTCTAATAATCGAAAAATACAGTTATTATAAAAACATAATTCTAATTCATTCATTTTATTAGTGCGAAAAAGACTGTGTTTATAAAAACATAATTCTAACCTATCTGTTCATAACACTATATAATAATATATTTACTAATTTTGAAATATTTTTAGCTTAATACTTGCATGTTTTGATAACTTAACCCGCATAAGATCATATTTATAAAAAAAAATCTAACTCGTCTCATCAAATTACCATATAATATAAATATTTATCAATTTTTAATATGTAAACTTTTGAGTGATTGATTATGATTAAAAAAACACAATAACATATTCGTTAATCATATGTTTATTATGAAAATATTATTTAAATTTTAAATATTAAATTAAATCTAAACTATATTTAAAGAGTCTAAAGTAATTTAACTTAATATGATTCATGAAAAAATAATATGATTCATGAAAAAAAAGCCAGAGGAAGAAAATGTTACTACTGAAATCTTGTAAGGCGGAAATAATATTCAATGAAATATCAGATTCCAATCAGTGTGCTCTCCAGCTACTAAATTCTTGTAGCCATGCCATACCTTATGGATCTTTGCAAGCAGAAGAAGAACAGACGCCTTTTCGATTTGCAAATTGAATTTTTAAAATATTTTAAATTTTAAATTAAATATAATTTATATTAAGAAAATCTTTAATTATCTAAATTAATATTTAATTTTCGAAATTACTTTTTTACATAAAAGAAAATATGTTTTTTTAAATAATATCACAACAAAATAAGATAATCTTAAAACAGTTTTCAAATAAATATTTTTTAAAAAAAACTTTGGAAGTATTTGGATGCAAACACTAAAAGTGTATCTGTTTTAATATAATAGATATCTTTCTATTAATTCTTTTCTACTTTAATTAATAAAGAAGACAAGAAATTACCTATGACATAAATTATATGTAAAAAACGTGTATAGCTTAGTTTATAAAGTAAGACTTCTTTTCAAAACTAAAATTATTTGTTCATCTAATAATTTAGAAAATTTTGATTAAGAATATCATATCGAGAGTATACTAGGATTATGAGTGATATTTAAGGGAAATTGACTAATAAATTAATTTACTCATTGTTAAATGATTTTTAGTTGGAAGCCATGAAAATTAATATGGCAAATGGCAACATGTATGCAATTGATTTTTTGCTTTTACGGTCTTAATTTTCCAAGAAACGTTTAACTTAAGACTAATCCGAGACTCTGACCCATGTCTCGGAATGAAGAAGCGTAGGCAATTTTGGTTTGATTTATATTACGGTATCTCCAAAAGCAATCTATGAGGTTTTGTTCACTTCAAAAATAATTTTAAATTTGAGGATATGAATAGTAAAATTTTATATTTGAAGTTTTATTATTCTTTTTTTTCTCCTTGAAGTTTTACCTTTCAAAACCTTAAATTTGAAGTTTGCAATTTTTTATTTATATTTTACTCTTTACAGTTATATATTTTATAAATAATCACTATTTTTTATTTTTATTATTCTAATCTAAACAATTCTATATCTCATGAATATTTCACATTTATTTTTGTAAATTTTATATTTATATATAAAATAAAATTAAAACTGAGCAATCTCAACACTTTTGTCCATACTTGATACATTTTTTAAAAACATTTTGGGAGCATTAAGAAAATAATTTTTGTTGAATAATTTGATGTTTTATTATTATATTTATGTAATTTCATCTAATAATGTAATGTTATATTTTATTATAAAATTTATAACATAATTTTAGTTAATGATATTTTTAATATATATTTTTTTATTATTTATAAAATTGTATGATTTTTATTAATAATAGTTAAAAGTAAAGGCTATAGTACAATATTTTATGTATGTAAGCTTAGATTTGCAGTTCTGCTTTTAGAGACAAACACCATCAAACCTCAAATTTAAGGTTTGACCAACTTCAAATTTGAAAAAAATTTTTGGAGATGTCCTTAATGTAAAAAATTCACAAAACGACCAAAGTTTTTTTTTCCTTTTATGTGCTAGTAGAAGTATGTTAGAAATCATGTTCACGATAACCGCTTCTATTTTAGTATGTTACCTTGTACATTTTAAGAAATTAGTCAAAGTTTTAGTTTTGGTGAAAGATAGCATTTTAAGATTATGAAAGTGTTGCATACTCAAATGAAACTTGTGTTTGTACTTGTTAGGGATTTACCTAATTTATGTGAAAAGAGGAGGAAGCGAATATTTGGTATGTCTTTAAATCCACTAATTCTTATTGATTTTGAGTTGAAATTGCATAACTAACATGGTATTAGAGTTTAATATGTTGATCTAAGAGTAGAGTGGCCCAAATAGATTTATAAGAGACATCATCTAAAACAAATGTGTTTAGAATCCCATCAAAAGTTAAAATAGACCTAAAGGCTAAAGTAATATATAAAAGACATAAACTAACTATAAGAACATCCTCTTGAATCCTTTTTGATACGTGTAGATCAAGACAGTCGCACTAGATTTGTCACTAAATTTTCTGAAACAACTATACAATACAGTGTGCTTAGTTTTGTCACATTGAACGATAATACAGAACTTAGTGTGAACTTTTAGTACAACTCTAATCTGAATAAAGCAAATAATGATTGTTATATTCATAAATCGATCACGATACCCCGAATAACTTGTGGTAGCCCTTTATGTCGTCCTAATGCATTTGGTGATGGGGGACGTGTCATCGGAACATTCTGTGGGACCCGTATCTCCGATGAGTGTCCCGAGATGCACATCGATCCCGACCCGTCTTGTTGCCAGTACACTTCCACCATTATTCCACTTGGATTCTCTGCGTTTTCTGTGTCTGGGATCCCAACAAATCTTGCTCCCACAGGTATCTGTACATTGGCCGTATAACTTGAATTTCTCAACGCTGCATTTGAATATATATATATATATATATATTAATTTACCTCTAGCGATATGCCTGATGCCAACTCCAGAGTGACCATGGTTCCTTCAGCGGTTGCGCTTTCTAGTTCTGCCCGTCTTGCGATGTTCAGAAACACTTCTTCAAGAGTTGCAAGCCCGAGCTGGATGTCCGAGATTCCAAACTCAGATTCTCTGTTTTGTAGTTCCTCGAAAAACACCTATTCTTGGAGAAACAATGCTGAAAATCAAACATAGATGAAGATCTAAGTGACTATTAGAGATTTCTTGTACATTCTTACCGTCAAAAGTTTCTCTTTGTCGTGGGGGATAACAAAAGTCATGTACGCCTTGTTTTCTTCTGTTGGCTCAACATTCAAATGCTGCAAATAATATTTTCTTTTTTTGGTCAGGCACTGCCTAAAGTGGTCCCTAAAATAAACAAAAAACAAACTTTTTGAGTGTATGTACCTCTTTAAAGAATTTCTTCAATGGCTCGTGCCAAGGTCCATCAGCAATGTTATTGTCCTTTTTTCTTTCAGTGAAGCTAACTGTAGCAACAAAGCCCGTGCCAAAGCGGGATTTTAATCTGATCGAGGTCCCCATGCAGCGGAGCCTGCCCTTAGCCATGATCCCTATTCGATCACTTAAAATATCAGCTTCCTCCATAGAATGCGTAGTCAGTATGATGGCACGGCCTTTCTTTGAATCTTGTATAATGTCCCACACATGTCTCCTCGTGATAGGGTCCATGCCAGTTGTCTACAATTTATGTATAAACACCATCTTTAATCGATTTGTGTGGACAATATATATAAACACATCTTAAAGAGGAACCTAGGAAGCAACATGCCGGTTCATCTAGGAAGACCAGCTTGGGATCACCAATGAGTGCAATTGCAACACTGAGTCGTCGTTTCATTCCACCACTGTAACTTCCTGCTCTAACTTTCGCCGCTCCTGTAAGTTTTACATCTGCAAGTAGCGTCTCTGTAATCTGTATAAGGGAAAGAAAATTGTAACCAGAAATAGAACGGAAAGGTATATTCTTTGCAAGAACTCCACATCAGATACCATTCTTGAAATACATGAATGAAGTAAAATCAAAATTATTGGAGGATGACGTACTGATTTGATTGATGATGGTGGCAACCCTTTGATGCTAGCAAAGAGGTGGAGGTGCTCTTCACTGGACAAAGCATCCCAAAGGATATCAAACTGTTTTTTTTTTTAAAAAAAAAACAAAAAACAGTGATGATGAAATAGATAGCAGAGCAAACAAATCATTGTGTAAGAGGACAATGGAGGACGAATTTAACCTACCTGAGGACACACTCCTATCATTTTACGAATGTTGGAGATACCAACAGAGCTTCTTATGGAATTTCCATAAATTATTGCTGTTCAAGTCAATCAAATAGATCCTGTTAATTGGAATGGTTATAATGTTTAAAAAATAAAGGTGAGAAATTCTTACCATCCCCACCAGTAACTGGATTTATGCCAGTCAAACAACTGATGGTAGTTGTTTTCCCTGCGCCATTTGGTCCGAGAAGGCAAAACAATTGATCTTTGGCGATATTCATCCACAAACCCTAAACATATTGCATGAACTAATTAGCCGAAAAAAAATAAATGGAACTTTTTGTAATCACTTCATGTTAGAAATCACAAGAGACGGTGAGCATTAGGATTTCGCAACAAACTGAACACGGAAGATTATAATTTTTATTTTTTGTTTTGTTTTCCCATTAAGAGTATAGCCACAGATTAAGGATACATTTTCTGTGGCTTTTTTAAACGCGAAAAAACCATTAAAATCCACATAAAACTACGAAAAAAAAACCATGGAACAGCCACAGAAAATTAGCCACAAAGCTATAGCCACATGAAAAAAGATCGTGTTATAACTTTGTTTTACTAATTTTTATCCATCGCTTTTCCATGGTTTTTCTGTTGCTTTTTCATAGAAAATCTGTGGTTAATCCGTGGCTGAGTGCATATCTTTTAGTAGTATCCTTAGCAGAAATAAATACCTTTACAGCATGAAAAGGGGATGTTTTAATGCATTTGCAACATCCAAGCTTTGTTGTTCCAGGATATGTCTTTGAAAGACCATGTATCTGAACAGCGATGTTAGGATCGACTATACCATCCAGTGCTTGTTGTTTAACTAGTGTCTCCTCTTCAAGCACATCTTGGTCCTCTGGCGTTTTATGCTCTACGGGTGGAACCGAACCAATACAGCTACAAATGCTACCTTCTGTAAAGTGTTTTAGTTACATGTTCTAACAATAAGAAAAAGGACAGTTTAGGAGTGGAGGAGAAATACCTTCTACTTTGTTCCCCCCTTTGCCAGTCCAAAAACCAGGTGTTAAAAAGTAGAAGATAGGTTTTCTTACACCCGATGCATTGGGAATAATATTGTCAAAGTAAATGGCCAGAACAAACCAGAAAAGGAATGTCCCAACAAGCCACTGGTAGATAATATTCTGCCAAAATTTGAAAGGTATATATCAGAATGATATCAGAATGATATGTGTCCCACATTGAAACTTTAAGAGATTTTTAGATATACATAAATGTGTGATAATCCTTCACTTTTCACCTAACTTTTGCGTGTGAGTTAGGTCCATACTTACTAGTGTAGTATATTTTTAATGGTTAAATAATAATGGACAAGTAGTATTTCATGAAATTTATTTCGAATGTCCACATACAATTGAGATTACGCAATCTGCCTTGCCCCCTTGACATACTGCTCTTTCACTCCAACTAATTCCAGAGCTACCGGGAGTTGAAGTTGCATCAAGAAGAAGCTTAAGGCCCGCAGAAAAAGTGTTGGGTGGAAAGAGTGACCACATCACCCGGCGAGAAACTGCATAGGCGCTAGAATAAGGGAATCCCGTAGCTGATACAATCTGCAGTTACAATTGTGAGTAGTAAGTAACAAATCACGACCAGTTTCAGCTATAACTGAAAGAGAGCCAAACCTGTGTCATGAAACCAATGAGAAACACAAGGAAACCAACAGTTGTAGCTGAAGATGATTTGCTAATAAAAGATGACAGCACGAATGCCAGGGCAATCTAGAAACACCACAAGTAAGATGCAAAACACACAAAAAAAATTATGTATTTGGATATCTCAGATCGAAAGCAAGAAAAAGTAATTAAGAATGGGGATTTTTACCATGTTAAACTGAAAAAGCAAGAATAGTAGGAAGACAAGAATAAAACTGTTGTTCAAGAAAAAATCAAACTGGAACATGATTCCAAAGAGGACTAAGAAGAGTGAGGAGAGGAAGGTAAGGATTCCTTCCCATATGAGCCATGATAACCAGTAAGCGGTATCAAAAGCTCCCATCATGGTCATTGCCTGCCGAAGTTTTAGCTCTTTCTCGGTAACCAGAGAACCGAGTTGAAGAACAAAACCAAACATGGAGAAAGCAAGAAAGAAGACTGGTCCCATAAGTTTGAGTGCAGAGGTAGCTTCACCTATAGTAGCTGGTCGTGCAAATTCCTTAAATCCAAAACCCCAACCAAAATCTGGATCTCCAATCAAGGACCTAGCTATCTCACGCTCTGCAGCGATTTGAAGAGGAACAAGGAACTTAAACGTTGGGTCTTCAACACGACCGCGTTTTTTCCCGGATGAAGAATTCGTCTGAACTCCATAGCTGATTACTGTAGCATTCCTTTCAACAAAGTGCAAAGCTCCTGGGACTTGCAAAGGATGTGAGAGAAGCCACGAATCTACCTCATCAAGCTCCTTGAACGATTGAACCTGAATATACATTCATTGTAAAACTATTTTTTTTACTTGAATAAATTTTAGATTTAATTTTTTTTAGAAAAGAACCTCAATATCAAAACCGGACACACACATATTGGCTTCTTCGATTTTCAATTCTCAAGAGATGACAAAATAAAAAAATAAAACCTAACCAAACCTTGTTGTTGGGGATTGGTCTCCCTGGATTATTCGCCATGATAGCAGAGACGATGTCAGTCACGCGGCGACTGTGGTTTCCACTCCATACGAAGTCATAGCAAGGAAGCTTCACGAAGAACTTATCCTCACAAGGAAGAATCGGCGGTGAGACAAGAAGCGTGGGATCGGTGACATTCTTGTACGCCATCGAGGATGCGTCGGTGGCCTTCATTGCTTCCTCGATACAGAAGATGACAAGGATGAAGAAAAATGAAGAGAAGAGCTGAATACACGTGGCTCTTTTGTTCCGCCATGAGAGCAACAGATTCTTCCTCAACAACGCCTTCAACTGCTGGTAGAGAAGCGGCAAGCCTCCTTGCAAAACCATTTTTCTTTATTTAAAATTTCTTTTTATGATATTTTAGGGGAGGAAAAGTGCAATATATTTATTTGTTTACATCTCTAATGATAATATAAGCCGAGTGTTGTATACGAACCCTAAATGAATATTACTACTAATAGAAAAACAAAAAAATGAGTTAAAGGACAGGCGGTCTTTTTGTTTCCAATTTTCGAGGGTTGGACTTAACTTCTTTCCCACGTTGAAAAATGAGTGAAATTGGGACCTCATTTCTATTTTTGGGTATTAATTTGGGACCTCGTTTATGTTTGGACACTAATAATAAATCAAAGAGAAAGGGACGAACAAGTAAAACTAGCGAATCTTCATTCTTTCTTCATCAAATGGCGGATTCTAGTCGTCCGGCAAGTTTTTGGACACAGGCCAATGCGTTACTTAGGAAGAACTTAACCTATCAGGTATGTGTATGCCTTGTTCCGTAAGTTTCTGTTTCCTCCCGTCAAATTGAGTAACTTTATGGATGGTTTTGCTGTATAATTCTTCTAAATGTAGAGGAAACACATATGGACGAATGTTCGGCTCATCTTGGTTCCACTCTTCCTCTGCTTGATTCTGCTGGCGATTCAACAAGTGCTCGATGCCCTGACGAAGAGTATCTCTAATTTGGCTAATGAATGTAAAAGTAATGCTGCTAATTTGCCTGGTGATATCTGTCCCATCCCAAACCCTCCGTTGTTGCCTCCGATGTTGCAGGTTCCACAGCCTCAACTCCGCTCTGTTAAGTCCGATTTTCTTTCCTACTCGGACCTCCCCGACAAGTCATGCAGAGTAACAGGAGGATCTTGTCCTGTAACTATACTTATCACTGGCGATAAACAGCCCCTTGGAAGAGGTACATTTAACATTTTGTTACAAACATAACAACATGAATTTTAATTTCCGATAATAGCACAAATGTATAATATTAAAATGGCACAAAACCTTTTTTCAACAAAACCTTTTTTCAAGAAGAAAAATCTAGACATTTAATAAGAAAAAGAGAACCCACACATAATGTTTTAATTTTATTTGTAACTATTTTAAGGTAAACAAGTATTTCCACACAATAATTACTTGTGGAATTTTAATCTTAAAGTACAAGGTTTGGAATAAAAACTAGTTTTGAGCTATTTTAAGATATTTCTATAATTCTCTTTTTTTTTGGTTCGGTTGCTATGAAACTTACCAGCTGCGTGCATGTTTCTCTTCCAGCTTTATCGGCAAATATCTTCCCTACGTCTTTTACGGTTAATTCCTCCGACCTCATGCCTACTTTAGCCAATAATGTCTTGGTATGTATTTAGTTTTAAGGTATATATTTTTGAGTCTACATTCATCTCTTTGTTTTTTCGTTTAACTCAAAGATATGACTTTCTTCAGGGTTCAACAGCAGCAGCAGGCGAAAACAGTTATGCAGATCCAGGGATTTCCTCAGATTTTCCCATCTACAGTATCCAACCTCTGTGTAGTGCAAACTCGACTTGGCCACTCTCGCTCGGAAAAATCCAGACAAGTATTTTGCTTTTAACTTGTTGATGTCAAAAGTAGTATCTTTAGCTTGAGCGATTATAACCCAAGATCTAAGAGGTTTGTGTCTAATAAATATACTCCAGACGTGAAATGTGTTCAAGGATTGTGTCTCTGGCGAAATAACTCTGAAGAGGTCAATAATGAGCTCTTCAAAGGTAGTTGGAGGGGAAACCCTGCTGGGATGACAAATGAGATTGCTGCAGGTTTGAATTTTCAACCATTTTACATATATATATAGCTTCTGCATAGGATCACACTTCACTGTATGTGTCCTCCATTTTCTTTGACTTAGCATATGATCTCATGAGTACGGATAAGAAAAACTTCAATGTGACCATCTGGTATAACTCAACATACAAGGATGATCCTCTAACTGGCAATGTAAAGTTGGTGTATGAGAAACAAGAGCGTCTAAGAATTATAATGAAAATGCATGGCCTGGGCGACGGTCCATATTGGATGATTTCCTATGCCTATTTTCTTACCATATCCATGTTGTATGTTGTTTCATTGGTGATCTTTGGGTCAGTGATAGGACTCAAGTACTTCCGGCTAAATGACTATAGCATCCAGTTCGTTTTCTATTTTGTCTATTTGAATCTGCAAATCGCTCTTGCCTTTCTTGTTTCGTCAATATTCTCAAAGGTTAAGACTGTTACAGGTAATAAATAATAGCATCACAGTGCTTGAATCTGCTCAAGAACATGTCAGTGTTCAAAATCTTAAATGGTCTCTCTATTTATATATTATTTATTAATTGTAGTCGTTGCTTACATCTTGGTGTACGGAACTGGGCTCTTGGGAAGCTTTCTGTTCCAGAAGATGCTTGAAACTCAATCATTCCCGGGTAAAATCAACAACTTAAAAATAACAAATGCTCATCATGTTTATTAATTACTGTTTATTTATTTTAGTATACAATATTTATATGTTTGCAGAAGAATGGATTGTTGCCTTGGAGTTGTATCCTGGCTTTGCTCTATACCGTGGGTTGTATGAGTTCTCGCAATATGCCTCACGGGGAAACGGGATAAAGTGGGAAGATCTCAGCGATAGTGGGATGGGTGAAGTTTTGTGCATCATGTCAATAGAGTGGTTTCTGGTTCTCATCGTGGCCGTATATATCGATCAGGTTTTCTCATCCGGGAAGCACCCTTTATTTTTCTTGAGCAAACCTTTCAAGAAATCTTCTTCCCTACCAAGGAGGCCTACTGTGCAGAGGCTAGATTCTAAAAGAGTCTCCATAGATATCGACAAATTAGATGTCACTCAGGAGGTATGAAAGAAGTCTAAGTTGTATCTATAATTTATGTTTGTTTTGCCATTTCATGTTTATTTTGTTTCAAATATCAGAGGGAGAAAGTTGAGAAACTGAGGAATGAAGGTAGCTCAGGGCATGCAATCGTGTGTGACAACCTGAAGAAGGTGTATCCAGGTAGAGATGGTAACCCGCCAAAACTAGCAGTAAGAGGGTTGTATCTTGACGTGCCTTCAGGAGAATGCTTTGGCATGCTTGGTCCTAATGGTGCCGGCAAAACCTCTTTCATTAATATGGTCAGTTTCGCCAAACAGATTGTTAAATATGGGTTTAACCAATTAGAAATCAGTGGATTCGCCTATATCCGTTATATACAACTTATGTTCCATCTAACTCCCGATTGTGAATATATATTTTATTCTCACATAAAAGTTTCAGAGTGTCAACTTTTACAATCTTGTACTCTACATTTTATTGATGTTAGATGACGGGGCTCCTAAAACCTTCATCAGGAACAGCCTTGGTTCAGGGGTTGGACATATGCAACGACATGAACAAAGTATACACGAGCATGGGCGTATGCCCACAGCACGAGTAACTTCCTCTTCTTACATTTTCTTCCATTACCAAGCAATTAAAGGAACACCACTGTTTTTTCTTATCTCGTTCCCTTGGTTTCAGCCTGCTTTGGGAGACGTTAACAGGCAGGGAACATCTTCTCTTTTACGGTCGACTCAAGAATATCAAGGGCTCTGATCTAACGGAAGTATGTATCTTTATCACCTTGCTATATTTATATGTGTTTTTTTTTTTAATTCCAGAACCCAATGTTAATTTTATGGATACATGATATCATTTCAAGGCCGTGGAAGAATCTCTCAAAAGCGTCAGCCTTTTTGATGGAGGAGTTGCTGACAAACCTGCTGGAAATTACAGCGGAGGTATGAAAAGGCGACTTAGTGTGGCCATATCGCTTATCGGGAACCCTAAGGTACGTACATTCTTGTTAATTGTGTCATTTTTCTCAAGCAGTGATGGCTCAGGTGATTAATTATTCTCTAAAATAGGTGGTTTATTTGGATGAGCCAAGCACAGGACTTGATCCAGCCTCGAGGAAGAACTTATGGAATGTGATTAAGCGTGCAAAACAAAACACTGCGATAATCCTCACAAGTATACATCGAATTACTTTTACATTCTCAACTTACAGTATATGGAATATGATTAAGCGTGTGTCTCCTATATTAGACTTAATCTTAAACTAATTAAGACTAAATTTTTCAGCTCACTCGATGGAAGAAGCAGAATTTCTATGCGATAGACTAGGGATATTTGTGGACGGAGGCTTGCAATGCATAGGAAACTCCAAGGAGCTAAAGAGCAGATACGGTGGATCGTATGTGTTCACGATGACAACATCCTCAAAACATGAGGAAGAGGTTGAGAGATTAGTTGAAACTGTCTCTCCCAACGCCAAAAAGATATATCATCTCGCTGGTACACAGAAATTCGAGCTCCCAAAGCAAGAGGTTAGGATTTCTGAGGTGTTTCGAGCTGTAGAAAAGGCCAAATCCAACTTCACAGTCTTTGCTTGGGGACTCGCCGACACAACTCTCGAAGATGTTTTCATCAAGGTCGCTAGAACTGCTCAAGCCTTCATTTCCTTGTCTTAAAAGCTATTTTCAGTTTAGGGTTTCACTTTTTTGGGTCAAAATTATGTATATATCTTGAAGGCCTGAGGCACACAAACACACTTGTTAATACGTCTTGTGCTATCTATCTATATATATATATATCTATATATATGTATAGTTACGTTCTCAATGTAATACATGTAATTTTTAACATATGTATATGACTCTTCATTTCTCTTTCTCTGGAAGAGCGTGAATAATATAATAGCAAAGAGAACAATTTTCTTTCTCAAAGATTTTGAAAAAATTTCAAATAATACCATCCTCCAAATTTTTCAATGTTATGTTTTTATTTATTCTGTGCTAATTTTAAAAACAAATATTCCGCTATTCCAATGAAAATGTGTTATAGATAGAAAAATAACAACATAAGAGGTGATGAGTTCCTAGAGATGGAAATTGCTTAGAACATGTGCAACGCTAGAGATCCATTTGGGTTTCTTATATATTTTTATAATATTAAACTAGGTTAAGAGATCTATATAAGAAACTCTCATTTTTGTAGGTCCAATGGTAAAAATCCATATAATTTCTTAAAGAATCTTTTTGACACATGTATGCTAGAGAGAGAAAAAAAAACGAAGAACCTGTAAAATGTTGACACCTGTCCGCTAAAAAACGTTTCTTATGTCTCTTAATTAAGAGACATTTCTTAGTTTAAACTATTTTTTATTTAATTTTATTACAAAACGTCTTAAGAAACTGGGTTAAAGACTCTGTTGCACATGCTCTCAGAAAAATGAAGGTATGATACTAGTAAAGAAACTGATTGGTTGATATGATACACATTATTGATTGTATTATACTAGGAATTAATCCGTATAATAATCGGGATTATAATAACTTAAATATTATTTTTAAAATTAATTTCAAAATTTTGGTTTATAAAATTTATCGGTATATATAAGTATGCATTTAACTAACATCACTCAATTAAATCTTTCAAATAGAAATTTAATTTATTGTTGGCTAAAAATTTATAAGATCTTTAACTAATGATATAAGTAATGCAGTTACAGTGGAGTAAGTTTTTTTATTTAACCTATTCACAGCGGACTAAAATATAATTAAAGCTAACCCACACAAAGTTTATAATATTGTAATCATTTGCACATCTTAATAACTGAGTTTTATGATCGCACCGCGAACTATAACAATCAGTTTTATCATGTTTAACTATTTATAAAAGAGTATAATATTTTTCAAACTTAGGTTTGATATATACTTAAAATAAAAATACAACAAATTATATTTAATTAAAAATCATAACATTTAGTAAATTTAGTATACCAACTCTTTTAAAAACTAATAATCTTAGTTGAGAACTTGTTTTTGTAGATATTTAAAAAGTTAGAATCATAATCTGTTCATATCGGACTATTCCATTTACTTAACCCGTTTTGCGCTGGATTAAAATAGAGATATTTACATTCAAAGACACTTTTTACAACTCATATTACAGTAAAAGGTACTTCTTGCTATTAGGTGACTTTTCTTTGTTTTCAAAAATTTTAGGACATTTTTGCCCCTCAGTAAAACGAACACCCTAAAAATTGTCCTCCGTGTTCGTGAGAACGGTGGATGCAAATGAGTGGATACCCGATTACACCCAGATTTTTAAAAACATTAAATTTTTTCCCAATCTGTTTTGTTTTGTATTTTTCTATATTGTGAAAGATTGAAAATAATTTTTTTGTTAGAATGAATCATAATTTTATTTTCTCATTATTTTAAGATCTATTATACTCTAGTTTATTTATTAAACAAGAATTTTTTCAAAAAACATTTATAACAAAAAATTTTAAAAACACAAGTGTAGTTAGATATCCATTCACAAATACGATATGGATGATACATGATGGACATAAAACATGGACATGATAGCGTGGATTAGTTTTAATTGATATTTTCGACGTGAATATACATTTTACATTGTCTACAATATGGACATGATTGTGTGGATATGTTTTCATTGATATATTCGACATGAATATACATTTTACATCGTCTATAATCTATTCACATGATGCATGATGAACATATAACTTGGACATGATTGCGTGGATATGATTTCATTCATATGATTTCATTCATATATTCGACGTGGATATACATTTTACATTGTCAATAACATGGACATGATAATGTGGATATATTATGGACAATGTAAAATGCATATTCATGTCAAATATATGACTGAAAACATATCCACACAATCGTGTCCATGTTATATGTCCATCATGCATCATACACATCATATTTTGTGAATGGATATCTAAGTAGATTCCTGTTTTTTTTTGAATTTTTTATAAGGTTGTTTGAAAAGTTTTTTGTTTGATAAATAAAGTATAGCATAATGGGTCTTAAAACAATGACAAAATAAAATTAGAATTCATTCTAACAAAAAAAATTATTTTATATATTTCACGACACAGAAAAATACAAAACAAAACAGAAAGGGGAAAAATTATTATTTTTAAAATCTGGGGTTAAACCAGTATCTACGAACTCGTATCCACAGTTATTGTGAACACGAGGGGCAATTTTGTATTATTTTGATGTGAAATTTAAAAAGAAGAAAAAAAGTCCCTTCTAACTATTAGAAGTGCTTTTTTTGTAAGAAAAAGTGGAAAAAGTGCCTTTGAGTGTAAATCACTCATTAAAATATAATCTTAAAAATATTAATTTTAATATGCACCATTTAATGATTCTCATTCAACCACGAAGATTTTTTTAAAAAATAAAAATCAATTTTTTCATTTCAATTTTTTGATAAAAATAGTTAAAAAATCATTTATATATATACATATATAAAATTATATTAAAAACAATTTCACCACTTTTTAATATCATATATTTTAATCTTAATTTTTCACATTTTTCAGTTGAGAAAATATTTATTTTTCATATTTTTTAATTGACTATATTATATAATATCAATTAAAATGAAAAATAAAAGAAAATAACTTTTTTATTCAGAAATTAAATAGTACATATACATTATTAAATGAGAAACAAAGACTATTGTTTTCAATAGTTTGAAAGATAATTATATTTTTTCCTATTTTTAATTATCTATCTATACTATTGTTTGTGAGGTCAAAAATCTGATGTGTCATCTCCACGGTGATTGTCCAACGTGTCATTATTATAAAAAATATGTGACGTTTTAATTAGTTCTGATAGGTCGATCGTTAATCGTACGTGTAAATACCCGTGACAATTTTTTCTCGATTATGGGCTAGCGATTTTGTTTATGGACCATTGATATCAAAGTCGGCCCTAGCAACTGATTTTGGTTATGAGCCACCGATATTATAGTTGGTACGAATAAAAACCACAAAATAAAAATAAGAAAAATACGAAGAAGAACTAACCAAAAGATAAAGAATATGAAGAAGAGTAGAACAAAACAAAGAGGAAGAAAAATTAGAAGAGTGAAATGAAATAGAAGTTGTAGACGATGATGAAGAGGAAAAAAAGATAAGGAATAAGAAAATTGACGTTGATGATAAAGAAGAAAGAAAAGAAGAAGAACAAGACCGAAAAAAGAAAAAAAAATCATAATAAAAAAAATTATGACAAGAAAAAAATATTAGAATAAGAAGGGGAAGTGGATGATGAATTTGGAGAAAAACAGAGATATAGAGAAATTGAGTTAAAGTTTTCAGGGACATGTAGAAGCTTCGGAGACATGTAGATGGACATAAAGAGAGTGTGAGGGAGAAATAAAGAGAGATAGAAAGAGAAAGAGAAATGGTAAAGAGAGTTAAACCTTATAGATACATGATATTAAATCCATGTTAGTTTGTATTTTCAGTGTTCTTATTTTTTATATTTAAAATATTTCTTACTTTACATGTAGTTATTTAAATTGTATGATATATACAATTTAGGACGAGAGGGGAAGGAGAGAATGAGAGAGAATTATTGAAAGAGAGAGAGGGAAAGTGAGAATGATAAGAAGGGATGCATGGAGGGGGAAAGAGAGAGAGATAAAGTTTTCAAGTACATGTATTTGTTTGATATAAAAGATGAAGGAAAATAAGAAGAATAAAAGGTCAGAGAGAATGAAGAAGACAAAAACGATGAAGACGAAGTAGAAGATGAGAAAAAGATGTAGAGAAAAAACTTAAAGAATAAGAAGTAAAAAAATAAAAGGAAACAAAAGAAAACTAAGAAGAAGACGTGAGAAAAGAATGAGAAATAAGATAGAAAAAGATGAAAAATATAAGGAAAAAACGATAAAGAATAAAAATTAAAAGATAAATAAGAGGAAAATAAATAATATGAAAAATAATTATGTGGAGAAGTAGAACTTGTTTTTGTCTTAATTCAATTGATTGTAAGTTCAATATACTTATTTAGTAAACATTTTTGTCGTTAATTTTAGATGATGTTTATTTTTTTTGGTTTGCTTCAGTTTATCAAACACCTAGTTATTTGTTATTTATTGGAGAAATATAATAATTTACAAAATAAAATTTATTTTTAAAATACTTACTTAAATAATAATAATAATATAGATAATTTGCATACAATGTATACTAGTTTACTTCTATGCTACAACAGTACTATTAATCAAATATTTTTGGTTTAATCGGTTTAAAAAATTTATAGTCGAACCATATCCCCATCATATAGTTTCTACAAAATGAATATTTATACGGTTATTGTATATTACTCTGGTTTGGTTTTGGTTTTGCGAAATTAGTCACTCCTAGGTGAGACCTCACAAATGTTCAACATTTTGTTTTGATAATGCTCGATACATATGGTTCTCCTAAATTGACATAGATTCCTTCAGATATCCGAATCATTTCCATGCACATATTTTTTTCAATCTATTTCCTCGTTATAAAAATAAGAAAAAATTATTTGATCTCATAGGAGTCACAAGTGTGTTAGAAAATCATTAAATAAATAAAAAGTTGCCGTGGAAGAACAAACGCCACCAAATAAATCGAGTGTGGATAAAACGTGTTCTCCACCCGCCAATCAAATTTTATCAAAATCTCAAAACTCTCATCATTTTCAATACACATCTCTTTTAAGATTTTTATCCAATCATAATCCCCAATTGCGACCCGAACAAGTTTAACCCGACCCAGAATCACCCACCTTCTCCATTTGATTTTTTCAACCCCACTCATATTTTCAACGATCTCCTTCTTCCACATCGCACACCCATCCCTCTCTGTCTCTCTGCTCGATTCCTGATCTCTAGGTTTTGGGTTTTTGTAGACAAAGAGGGAAAAGCGAGATTGAGATTGGGATTCTATGGCGGTTTCGAGTGCCTTCGTTGGTTGCCCAAAGCTCGAAACTTTATTAAATCACCATAATCTGTCTTCCTCTTCTTCGTCTTCTCCTTCGCAGACGCCATTGGGTCTCAATTGTGTTCGTTCTTCTCCGAGGAACAATAGAACCAGGCGTGGTCTGATCCAAAGAGCACGTTGCGAGCTTTCTGCGTCTGATTCTGCGCCCAATGCAGCAAGCATCTCTGCTCTCGAACAACTCAAGAACTCTGCAGCTGATAGTAAGATTTCTTATCCCTTTCTCTCTTTTCTGGGTTTTTGTTGACGCTCTGATTCCAATTTTGTGGATTAGTTTTCTTTGATTCAGAATGTTTTGAATTAGCTACTCAAGTTTGAATCTTTGTGGGTCAAATTTCATTTATCAAGTTTGGATATTTTTGTGGGTTAAAAATTCATTTCTCAAGTTTGAGCCTTTGAATGATGTGAGTGACATTGTAAGTATAGTGAAGCCGGTTTTGTCATTAATTTTGCTGTTCTAACTCTCTTTGTGTGGTTATTCAGGATATACAAAGGAAAGAAGCAGCATTGTGGTGATTGGACTTAGCATTCACACAGCTCCTGTTGAGATGCGTGAGAAGCTTGCTATTCCAGAAGCTGAGTGGCCACGAGCTATTGGAGAATTGTGCGGTTTGAATCATATCGAAGAAGCTGCTGTACTCAGTACCTGTAACCGTATGGAGATATATGTTTTGGCTCTCTCTCAGCACCGTGGCGTTAAAGAAGTGACTGAATGGATGTCAAAGGTGCCTCTTTTACTTTTGTTTTGTGCGTGTGACTAATGCGTTAGAAGACGTTAGAGTGGTCTTTGCTAGCTCAAACCGTCGGAAATTGAAGTTTTTTTGTGGTTGCAAATAAAGAAATAGCGTGTTTAATTGTACGATGTCTACTTAAGATCGATCATAACACCTGTTGTGAGATTTGTATTCAATCTGTTTATATACTATAAGTATTTATCACGGATGTGTTAACAGATCCTGTTTCTTTTCTCAGACGAGTGGGATACCAGTATCAGAGATTTGTCAGCACCGTTTTCTGCTGTACAACAAGGACGCTACGCAGCATATATTCGAAGTCTCAGCTGGTCTCGACTCTCTTGTCCTAGGAGAAGGTCAGATCCTTGCGCAGGTGAAACAAGTCGTAAAAGTTGGTCAAGGAGTGAATGGATTCGGGAGGAATATCAGCGGGCTATTTAAACACGCGATAACCGTTGGGAAGCGTGTCAGAACAGAGACAAACATCGCAGCTGGGGCTGTTTCGGTCAGCTCAGCCGCTGTCGAGCTTGCTCTGATGAAGCTTCCGGAATCTTCACACACATCAGCTAGGATGTTGATCATCGGCGCAGGGAAAATGGGAAAGCTTGTGATAAAGCATTTGGTAGCCAAGGGTTGCACAAGAATGGTGGTGGTCAACAGAAGTGAAGAGAGAGTTATAGCTATCCGTGAGGAGATGCCGGGTGCTGAGATTGTATATCGACCTCTTGATGAGATGCTAGCTTCTGCTGCAGAAGCGGATGTAGTTTTCACCAGCACAGCCTCTGAGACGCCATTGTTCTTCAAGGAGCATGCAGAGAATCTCCCTCCAGCTTGTCCAGAGATTGGAGGAGTGAGGCTTTTTGTTGACATCTCTGTCCCGAGAAATGTCGGGTCTTGTCTCAATGAAGTAGAAACCGCACGGGTTTACAATGTGGACGACCTCAAGGAAGTAGTTGCTGCCAATAAAGAAGACAGGTTGAGGAAAGCAATGGAAGCTCAGACCATAATCGCAGAAGAATCCAACCAGTTTGAAGCATGGAGGGATTCACTGGAGACGGTTCCTACGATCAAGAAACTAAGAGCTTATGCAGAGAGAATCAGAATGGCAGAGCTTGAGAAGTGCTTGTCCAAAATGGGAGATGACCTCAACAAGAAAACGACGAGAGCTGTTGATGACTTAAGCCGAGGTATTGTGAACAGATTCTTGCACGGTCCAATGCAGCATTTGAGGTGTGACGGGAGTGACAGTAGAACGCTGAGCGAGACCCTTGAGAATATGCATGCGTTGAACAGAATGTACGGTCTCGAGAAGGACATTTTGGAGGAGAAGCTCAAGGCGATGACGGGACAACAAAAGTAAAATGGTAAGAAGAAGATGTTCATTCTCTTTTGACAGATAAGATTACATCGAACTAGCTTCCCCGCAAAACCCGAGTAAATTGCATAGATCCTCAAAGTTGGGATCTATATGATTCATTTAATTTGTGTACAAGAGACGGTTTCTTTGGCTAACATTTCTTATCGTCTTAAGTGTAAGTGTTGTGAAGCTAAGCGAGCTTTGTTGCATGTTTTTTGCTTCATAGACTCAAGAGTGTAACGGTATTGATCTAAGTACCGTTACACATTTGTATAATGTATAAAGTATAAACTTTGGTTCATGCGGCATAGAGAAATGTTTTTTTTCGTCTTCTTTAAATAGTGTCTCATCTCTCTAACTATCTTTGGTTTACTTTTTTAGTTTAACGAAATATTTCATCTGCTTATTCTGCTTTTGTTCTTCTGATTGTCAAGAATGTGCCTTTGTCGTGTATCAATTTTGTTCTTCTGTTTTTGATGAAATTTGTATTGGATAATTCTGTTTGATTTCTGTTGTTTTGATTGTCTTTTTGTTCCTTTCTTTCTAGATTTTATCATTAATTTTGAAAGCTGAAGCAGAGTTATCAAAGTGAAGAGCTTGGCAAATACAATGGGAAACATAAAAATGAAAATTATGGGATTTATTATTGTTAACTCCTCGCTTTGAGATGTAACATATCTGAAAAAATGTTACCATGTGAACTATTTAGTCAATTGAATCAACATGAGTTGGTACTAAATGCAACAAAAAAGTTTAGCCAATACTCCATGAGTCAGATCGGTTCATGTGATACAGGGTGAACCTTTTTGATGCATATTTTACTACTAAGATAGTACCACCACATTGTAGTTTCGATTATTTGAATATAACACATGGTAACATATTCAACATTATATTTAACAACGATTAGTAATAGCATCTGATTTTTTTTTTAAATGAGAAACCAATTAATGAATAATATGAAAGAAAAAAAATGTAAGCACCAATCAAATATTTGATATTTGGTGATTTTGACAGTGACTTTTTGATAAATACATATATAGCCTTACAATGTGAAGATAAACTTCACAGCTAACACCTGTCGTAACCAATAAACTAATAGTTATCTTGTAGCATGCCATGAAGCATTAGCTAATTAATATAATTAATTAAAAATCTCTACTAATTCAATACTTAACATTTCTAGTTAAGTTAGCCAGCAAAGACACAACAAATCATGTGGACCCTTTCACTACTATATATAAACATTTGATTTTACCATAAACAAAACATAACCATAGAAAACAAAAAAAAAAAATCATTCAATATCGTCATGGGGAAGAAGAAGTTAAACCTAGCTTACATTTCCGATGGCACGGTGAGAAAAGCATCATTCAAGCATAGGAAGAAAGGATTGATGAAGAAACTCGATCAGCTCAAGACTATTTGCAATGTTGATGCATGTGCAGTCATTTACGATCCATTCAACTCAAATCCAGAGGTATGGCCATCAAACTCAGGGGTGGTTAACGTAATCAAGAAGTTTGAAATGTTGACAGAGATGGAGAAGACATGTAGATCGGTGAATCAGGAAGGATTTCTCAGTCGAGAAATCGCAAAAGTCAAGAAGAAGAGTCAAAAACTTGCTCAGGAAAACAAGGAGGGTTACATGAGGGAGCTCATGTTCGGGTTTCTTGGTGGGAACATGGAAGGTTTGTGTATGCAAGACAATGATCGTCATGGCTTGTGTAGTTATATTGATCAATATCTCATCATCACAAAAACGTAACACTAAACAATCCGCATTTTGAAATCGGTGAATCTTCTTCAATGGCTATGGCACCAACCCTTATGACCGCGGTCATGGCACCACCGGCTGTGGCTGAAAACCAGAGACTAGGGCATGATAATTCTCTTGCAAGTAACCAAGAAGTATATACTCCGGTTATGAATCAGGTTTGTGTTTGTGATCAACAAAAAATCTATGTATTTAAAATCATGATTAGTATTAGCAAACAATGTTGTTATTCGATTGTGTCTCAGGATGAATTTTACGATCCATATCAGAATCAGCAACAAGGATCCGTTGAAGAAATTATGAAACTTGGTGAGCACACAGGTTTCCCTTGGATGGAAGACTACCATACCCAACTAGGAATGTTATGTTTCCTTTAATCCTTTGTTTTGACAAATGTTTTTACTTTCAGATTCAGTGACAAATCTTTGCTTTGATATGTCTTATCTATTTACCTCATCAAGTTTGAGTTTTCTAATTAATGCGTTCTCTAAAGTCACAGGGTATATCGGAATCCAACTGATGAACAGTGTTTTCGTTATAATATTGATTTTTCTGATAAATTTCTAGTGTTGTAGTTATGTAATATTGATTTTTCTGATCAATGTATAATGTACTTAAACCAAAAGAAAAGGACAAGTCTAGTACTGTATATGATTTTTTTTTTTTAATTTTAACATCTTAAATGTTAAAAATTTAATAAATTAATCAACCATTAACATTAACCTCAAGCACTCGTCCTTTATCCTATGTTAGTTCACGTCAAACAGAAACACGACAAAAGGTGCCAAATCAATTCACGGAATATTCCAAAAGTCGAAAGTTAAGCAAAAAAATTGGAAAGCAGAAAAAGCAGGAGACACGGATCTAACACAGTTTGCGACTCCCAATATTATATATTTAACTTTACCAATGAACTCTATTCTCTCATTTTCCCATTCCATTTCCATTTCCTCTGTTTCTCCTCTTCCTTCGCTTCGTACCCTCTCTCTTCATCGTTGCAACTCTATTCCTTCTCACGGTAACTCTCTCTCTCTCTCTCTCTCTCTCTCTCTCTCTCTCTCTCTCTCTCTCTCTCTCTCTCTCTCTCTCTCTCTCTTTTTGTTACGATCTCATAACATAGTTGTCGCCTGTCGGAATCTGGAATTTCATGTGTAGTTTTGGTTGGTCCTGGACTCTTCAAACAAGTAACACCATCTTTTGATTTCGCTGAATCAGATCGTTAATTTTATGGAAAAAAGGCTAAATGGGTTTTGCTTTTTATTTTATTTTTATTGATGGGTGATGTAAATTTGAATGGTTTTGGTGGATGAACCGAAAATTAGATATGGAGGCTAAACCAAGTCAAGGCCTTTACCCTCTGCATCGTTGCAAAACCATACATCTGGTTCGTTGTTCTCTTTTTCCTTGTTTCTTGATTTGGCTCTCTGTTTCTCATATTCTGATTTGAGCTCTTGTGGGGTTTTTAGGTGAGGCATGCTCAAGGGATTCACAATGTAGCAGGAGAGAAGAACCATGATGCTTACTTATCTGAGGATCTCTTTGATGCACATCTTACACCTCTCGGATGGCAACAGGTACTCTATATTTCTTTTTTAGCCTTCTCTTACTCGGATTTTGCATAAAAAGAATGATCTTTTGCAAAAGGGAAGTAATGTGGGTTTTGTTATTGTAGGTTGATAATCTACGCAAGCATGTTAAGGCAAGTGGGATCTCCAATAGAATTGAGTTAGTCGTTGTGTCGCCTCTGCTCAGGTAATATACTCGTTTTCTTGTTTTGTTATTGATATGATCTTGATGGCATTTTCATGATTGGATTCTTTCTTAAGACAAGTCATTTAGAGTGAATATGCTTAGTGGTTTATGTTATGTTGTTTAGCTCCTTTGAAAGCAGTTGCATTTTCATGATTGGAATATAGTTAAGACAAATCATCAAGAGTGAATATGGTTATGTTGTTTAGTTCCTTTGAGAGTACTGTATATGAATTTGTATTGTTTCAGGACTTTGCAAACTGCGGTTGGAACTTTTGGAGGGGAAAGTTACCGAGATGGTGTTGATGCAACTCCGCTTATGAAGGCAGGTGCAGGGAACAGCGATCGTCCTGCTATACCAAGCTTAAATTGCCCACCTTTTATTGCGGTTGAATCTTGCCGAGAACATTTGGTATGTTTACTCTTCACCTTTTTGACTTGATTGCAGTTTCTTGAGAGTACAAGTTTTTGAAGTGTTCTTGTTTTGGTTTCAGGGTGTTCATCCTTGTGACAGAAGAAGCAGTATCACCAAGTACCGCGAGTTATTCCCTGCGGTTGATTTTTCATTGGCAAGTACCTAACCATTTTGTTTCATTTTGGATCGGCCTTGTTATTTTCTTTGTTTTTCACAGTTTCTTATATTGTGTATACAGATAGAAACTGACGAAGATGTTTTGTGGAAGCCTGACATCAGAGAGGAGAACAAAGATATTGCTGCCAGAGGCGTGAGATTCATGAACTGGTGAATATTTGCTTGATGTTTGTTATTAGCATCTCTATGTTCTTGATGATTGTTTTGACATACTGAGTAATTTTCTGTATATAGGTTGAGTACAAGGAAAGAAAAGGAGATTGCGGTTGTTACTCATAGCGGATTCTTGTATCAAACATTAAACTCGTTTGGAAACGATTGTGATCCCGCTGTGAAGAGCGAGATTTCTTCACAGTAAGCTAGCTCTTTTCTCCTCTTTGATCATTTTTTTTCTTTATAGTTTGTGTTCTCAATATCTCAAATTCTTCTTATTGCTGCAGTTTTGCTAACTGTGAGCTCCGTTCGGTTGTTCTGGTGGATAAATGGTAAGTTTGTTTAATCAAAAAGCGTTTGCGCATTTGATACATTCACGAAGTCTTAATGTCATATCTTTCTCTGTGCTTGTTGAAATGCAGCATGAACAGTTCTGATCCTCCAGTGACCAACTATCCCGGAAAAATACCTTCCGGGGAAGATCTTCCAAGTGATATTGCTGATGAGAAGAAGTAGTTGGAGAGACAAAAGTAATGAGACTTATGTTTACTCTTTCATGAATCTCAAGAGTCATTAATGTTATTTACAATAAAGAATATACTAACTAAAGTTGATTCCTTGACTCTTCTTTTGAAGAGGGTGTTATTCGCTCCATCGATTTGAATATGAATCTCCATGGAGTATGGATTTAAACATGTTTTGTATTACATCATTATTTCTAGCTTATTCTCCTATAAAAGCGGTGCAAAACATGATGATGGTTGTTAAACAAATTTTGTTGAGATCTTGATTGGTTTCATTGGCTATAAGAAGTCATACCTTTATTGAACGGCCTAGGCTGGAATTATTTGTCCATGGTTATAAGTTGCTGAGGATAAACTTGATTACATGATGGCTGCAACTGGGTGTCTATTTTTCTGAATTCATGTGGAATGGGTTATTCCATTTAATTCAGTAAAATATCACCAGTTGTTACGGAATAACATTCATAAAAGATTCAGCAAAATTTTACTGAATACGTGAAAAGAAAAAAAATCTCTTTGTAAAAACATTCAGCATCGTAAATGTAGAGGAATGAGTGGAATACTCAATTTTCAATTCATAATTTTTCATTCTATTCCATTCATCTTCATTCTATTTATTTGCATTCATTCTATTCAGTATATTCCTTTAAAATGGTTTTCAGTTACACCGGATTTTCTTGATTCCCAAATTTTGTGTTTATCTAGGAGAAATTGAGGTGATTTTTATACTTCTAGCTGGAAGTTTCACTGACCCTCACCAAAAACCGTTCTGCTCGTGCTTTGTCTCGACCAGATCGCTTAACGCATTGTTCATATTTCCAAACGGGAATGAAGAAGATTGTGGCTGGGCTTTTTTTTTTTGGTCGTCTACCCAACTGTTACATCACTGTTGGCCAGGTTGAGGTTGATTAAGGAAATCGTCCTCAACCGACTCGTTATGATCGATGTGGGTGAATAAATATCCTCTTGCTCGGGCTCCTTTCGCAAGACTATCTGCATGGAGGTTTTTATTTCGGGGAATGTGGGATAGAATGAATTCCAAAAAGTTCTCGCGAAGGGTGCAGAAAGTATCAATTTCAGCCGAAAAGGAGGGCCAGTCAGAGGGGAAATCCGTCATATACACTAGCTCTGAGCAGTCAGTCAGAAAGTGAACTGAGCGCATATGTCTCTCACTTAGGCAAGACATGGCCCACAGTAGACAATTCATCTCAGCGTGAAGTGCGGATAAACTTCTTTGACATCCTTGTTGTCCATATACTTCCTTTCCCCCACCATCTTTGAAAATCCAACCGAGACCACTAACTGGACTGTGCCTGATCCACGAGGCATCAATCCAGCAAGTCGAAATCCGCATGCCCTTGATGGTAGGTATTTGAGGAGTTTGGCAATCCAAAACCCCGTCTATGCTATTTCCCTTGTCTTCGGGTTGGTTGGCGATCCTCCAGCTTTTCGCTTCCACCTTAGCATGAAGCGCCGTATCTTTAGGGGAGGTTTCTCTCCCGTTGAAGATTTTGTCGTTTCTAGCTTTCCAGATGAACCACAGGATCCACGGATAAACATCCTTATGTGGATCCGGCATGTCTAACTCTTTTGTTTCCCTAAAGAGAAAATTCATATTTTGAAAAATAGAGATACTCGGGAAGATGCCCGGAAGGGACGGAAAGTCCGATAACACCTAGACTTGTAATGCCGGGGGACATAAAAACAAAAGGTGATTTATGGTTTCTTCGGGTGATCCACAGCGAGGACAGCTCTTGTCAGTACCCAGGTGTCGGAAAGTGAGGTTGCGACATGTAGCCACGCATCCTGATAGAGCTTGCCACATGAAGTGTTTCATCTTCCCCGGAGCCCGGGTCTTCCAAACTTGTCGTTGTAGTGCTCTGATGCTTGGTTCTCTAATACTTTATGGGTTTTGAAGTAGCTTCATCCTTCTAATTAAGTCGTATCCTGATTTTACTGAGTATAGACCTGATTTCGAATGGTTCCAGGCGTATCCGTCTAAGGTTCTATGTCGACTAGGTCTCAACCCGAGAATGAGGTGAACATCCTCAGGATGGAAAAAGAACCTCAAAAGGGGGGCATCCCACTGTTTTGTATCCTGGCGGATGAAGTGGTAGACAAGAAGCCCCGGGTCCCGGTATCCAATATGAGGAGCTGCTCTCGGAGGTCTTGCCTTGGTATCTGGGATCCAGGGTTCGCTCCAGGCTCTCGTATTTAGGCCCAAACCTATCTTCGTTCGTAGTCCCATCATTAGATATGGTTTTGCAGCCAGAATACTTCGCCATCCATAAGACGGGGAGTAGACCTTATGATCCTCTAGGGGGTCTGATTGCCTATAATATCTCCCTCGCAGGACTCGAGCCAGGAGTGAATTGGGGTACTGAATAAGACGCCATAGCTGTTTAGCTAGAAGGGCTAAATTGAAATCATATAAATCTCAAAAGCCCAGCCCTCCCATATCATGGGGAATGCAGATCTTATCCCAAGCTATCCAGTGTATCCCACTGCTATCTTTTCGAGCTCCACCAGAAATTTGCAATAGCACTTCGTAGCTTATCTATCACACCTTTGGGAAGCAGGAAGCATGACATGACATATGTAGGGATGGCTTGAGCTACCGCTTTTATCTGAATGTCTTTTCCGCCCTTGGAGAGAAGCCTTGCAGACCAGGTGTTTACACGGTTATTTAGACGATCTTGGACGTAGGAGAACACTTTCTTTTTTGATCCACAGATCTGCTCGGGGAGGCCTAGGTACATACCCATAGCCCCTTCTGTCGTGATCCCGATGGCAGTCTTGATGTCTTGTTTCAATGTCGGGAATACTTTATTTCCAAACATTATGGAGGATTTCCCCAGGTTAAGCTGTTGTCCCGAGGCTGAGCCATAAGTGGTGATGATTTTAAAGATCTCAGTTCCTTGTTGTACAGTTGCTTGGCAGAAAAACAAGCTATCATCCGCAAAAAGAAGGTGGGAAACTGGTGGGCTTGCTTGGGCAATTTTGAGCCCAGAGATTCTTTTTTCTTTCTCCGCTCCATTTAGAAGTGAGATAAGGGCTTCGGTACACAGGATGAAGAAGAAGGGGGAAAGAGGGTCTCCTTGCCTTAAGCCTCTCGACGGAATGATCTTTCCTTTTGGTTCTCCATTAATTAGAACTTGATAGGAGACCGAAGAAATACAGAACATCATGAGCTTGACCCATCGCTCAGCGAACCCCAATTTGATCATGAGGGCTTCAATGAAACTCCATTCTATTCTGTCGTATGCTTTGCTCATATCTGTCTTGATGGCCATGAAATTTTCTCTGCACACGGAATTTGTACGTAATGCGTGGAAGTTTTCCTGTGCCAACAGAATATTATCTGTAATCAGCCGTCTAGCCAAAAAGGCTGATTGGGTCTCGGAGATCAGGTGTGGTAGAGTCTTTTTTAAGCGCTTGCACGTGAGTTTTGAGATGATTTTGTAACTCACATTACAGAGACTAATCGGTCGAAATTCTGTCATAACCCTGGGTTTGTCTTTCTTAGGGATAAGACATATATTTGTTTGGTTGAGTCTAGGGTCAAAGAAACCGGTTAAGAAGAAATCTTTGACTAAATTGACTATATCTTGGCGGAATTCCTGCCAGAATTTTTGGTAAAATTTGCTAGTCATTCCGTCTGGTCCCGGCGCTTTGTCCGGGTTGATATCGAAAAGAGCTTCCCTAATCTCTGCTTCTGTGGGTTCTTTAAGTAGGAGTTGATTAGAAGATTCTGTAACTTTTTCTGTGATAAACCGGAGAGACTCTTCCGGTTGTGTAGGTTGAGATGTGGTGAACAGGTCTTTAAAATAGTGGGATGCTACCCGTTCGATACCTCTGGCATTTTCCACCCAGTGTCCATTGTTATCTCTTAGGGCGACGATTCGATTACGGCTTCATCTCTGTTTCCTGAAAATTTTTTGTATTTTTATCCCCGACTTTGTGCCATTGCTCTCTACTCTTCTGCTTCCAGAAGAGTTCTTCGTCCCTAAAGGCAGCACAAAGTTTTCTCTTAATCTCTTCAACCTCTTCTAATGAGGAGAATTTGTTATCTTGTGCCGCGTCTAGTTGTGCTTTAAGTTTCTCAATCATCTTTTCGGAATTTGTTACTTGAGTTTTGTTCCACCTGAAGATGCTCCGGCAACAGTCGGCAACTTTAAGATAGAAATCCCGACGTGGGATTCCATTTAAAGGCCTCCAGCCGGAGATTACTGCTTCTTTGAAGCCTGGTTTCCCCAGCCATCTTTTGTCGAAACGGAAAGATCTCTTCTTCCGTCGGTTATCCACCTGAATTCGTGGCTGGGCTTTGAAGTGATGAAAAACAAAAACAAAAACGATAATAACAAACGAACAGCAATAAAAAAAAAACATGATACAATTTAGCAAGAAGATAAAATATGGTCTGTTTATTTTGGGAATCAGGATAGGAAATCTTGAGAATGGGACATAAACAGATAATTTTAGGTATTAAAAAAATTACACAAAATGTTCCTGACAAAGAAACAGAACTAGAAAGTGGGATCACAGGACGGATTTGAAGAATTTGGATAATAGGACGAGTTTTGAAACATTCGGGTCATTAAAATCACTTCAAAAACTCTCAATAATTTGGAAAAAGATAAACTTCAGAAATGATGATTGGGGTAATTTTGAGAAATTTTGGGGTTTTTTTAAAGTTAATTTTCAAAAATTTAGCTATAAAACGGATTATTACAGATATCCTATCTCATTTTTTTTTTTTTAATAAATTACTAGATGAGTACCCGCCTTACGTGCAGACTTTTCTTTATATGTTTAATCTACAAATAATTATCTTTTTTTTTAATTGAATGTAAAATTTATTCAATCAAGGATTTTTTACATCAAATGCATGAGAGTTTAAAGAATTCAAAATACAACTTTAAGAATTTTCCTAATCTCTAGTGTCAAATCAAAACATAAAACTGTCCTCATAATCTTGGTCCCTTATGAGTCTGATCGAGCTTAGACTGTTTCTCACTGTTCTGTCAATGAGCTTTATTAATCTTTGAGGTGGAGAGGAGTCTTCACCATGCCTCTGTGCATTTCTTTCTCTCCAAATAGCGTGGATTGTGGCCTGCAGTGTATATTTCTTAACGAACCAGTAGATTTTCGTCTGAGTTCTATCTTGTATGAGTTGCATCAGGTCCTCCCATGTTGTCATAAATCTGCTCTTGAG